GTTGTAATGTGACAAAATATGGAAAAGTTCAAGGGGTATGAATACTTTTGCAAACCACTGTATCTGCAGTTGTCAGTGTGCATCACAGGCAGTAAGTTAAAAAAAGATAAGAACAGGCAAACTTCCTTTTGAAGCATCACTTCACATTTAGATAACTGGATCAGTTAGGCCGTCATCAGTCTTTGTGACTCTGACTAAATGTTCGCTAACTTTCAGCGCAACTGTTGTTTCCACTCATCTGCCTGAAAACAAAACATTTTTCTGGGCTTTTTCTTAAAAAAAACATTAAACCTTCTGAAAGTCACATTCAGCAGCTGTGAAACACATGAAATATAGAAACAACACATTTTAAAATGTAAAAACTTCATTTAAAAAAAGGCACAAAGGCAGATTGTTGCTGAATATTAGCCACCGGTTAAAATACCCAAACACACAAATTACAGACAAACAAAGGAGGCAAACAGAGAGGCACGCTGCTAACAGTGAGAGGATTTCCTCTGTCTGTCCATGCGAGCTTCCTGCACTAATACCAAGAGGAAGCATCCTGGATGAGGCTGAGTGATGAGCAGAGCAGAGTTAATGCCACACTGATGAACGAGCCCTCGGCCCAGACGCCACTCACAACCACTACCTGCCTCACAACATTTACCTGCCTCACAACATTTACCTGCCTCACAACCACTACCTGCCTCACAACCACTACCTGCCTCACAACCACTACCTGCCTCACAACCACTACCTGCCTCACAACATTTACCTGCCTCACAACCACTACCTGCCTCACATCTGCTGTGGTCAACATCGTCTCAAGCTTGATGTATTTGAGTTGAAGGGAAAAACTCAAAGTAAGCACATATTCAAACCGAACTTCCTTTAAATAGTGCACAGATGTGTGTGGGCTCTCATCCTGGCAGATCACCCTCAGGGCTTTTTAACTACTTTCTATTAAAAGGAATGTATTAATGTAAAGTTCTTCTGGTCATTGTGGCCATTATGTTTTAAATAACCAGATATAAGAAAGCCCAAAAGCTTGTTTAAATGAACAAATGATCAAAAAATAGAAGATGTAACATACTATTATACATCTAAAGCTTGACGTTTGTGTTCTATTTAAGTGCTTCATTGACAATTAACGAAGCTCGAAGCGTGACTGTTGTTGTTGGTTCCAAACTTTTATAGGAAATTGATTGCTCACAATGAAGTGTACTGTAGTGATTTTGTGTGATTATGTAAAATAAATGATCGCATTTATTTATGGAGAAAATTTAAATTCACTGACTGAAGCCACTTATTGTGTGTCCATTCGCTTTGCACTGGAAGAATATTTTACCGAAAATAAAATGATCCTTGCTAAAATACTTTCCTTATAACCTTGTTATAAGAGGTGTAGGTGTGAACCCTAGAGTCTAGACTATATTGGAGCTTGTTACTTTGTTAGTGCTGAAACTGCTGAAAAAAACAAAACAAAAAGGACACACAAAAGAGAAAAGGTCAAAGCTGCAGTTTCCATGTTTCCTTTGCAGAAACCAGGAAGTTCTGACTAATGCTGTGGYATTTCTGCCAGGAGCAGCAGCTTTGTCTCAATTATCCACACTGTAAATAAAGAAGAATCTGTGGAGAAAGGGATGAACAACAACAAAAACAACTAAAAAAGTATTTTAGAATGCTTGTTTCCAGACAGCAAAGTGTTGTATTTCATCAAAGAAGGCAGAAAATGTCAAAATGAAAGTACTGGAAGTTCAAATTTAAAAGCAGGAGGTTTTAAAATCGGACATAACATGAGGTTACGCACACTTYACTAAAACATACACACACCTGAACGTTGTCTTCTGTGACCTCAATCTCAGCCGTGTAAATGTAGTCCACCAGTTTTCTCAGAGTCTGACCGTCCACTTCYCTGATCTCCACCTGGTGGGCTTTACTTTCACTCATGTCACCTGCAAGAAGACAAAAAACACAGCTGAGCACAAAATATGAATTAAAAAAAAAAAACAACACAAGGCAGGAATACATTTGACTGTGTGTACCTGTGAACATGGCACAGAAGTAGGGGCTACAGGAGGCTAAGACCACCCTGTGAGCTGGCACTTCGACTCCGCCCGCCACCAGCTGGACGTCGCACAGCAACTTTTTACTGAAACGTGACAAGTGACAGAGAAATGGACTTTTTAGTATCATTTAGAACAGTGTTTCCCAAAGTTGGGGTCAGGACCCAAAGTGGGGTCCCAAAACATCAAGGTGGGGTCCTGAAAATATTTTCTAAGTTAATTACATTTTTGCCTTAGTTGCTACAAAGGAGTGAGGTTAGTATATTTAAAATGGATAAACGTAGTATAAAATATTGTTACTATGCCCATGTTTTGTTGACCTGATACAAATGTTTATCATCCAAAACTAGCTGGGGGCACAGGTCTCTGCTACTGTTATTTTGTGGGTCAAAAGCTGCACTTTGGTTCCCAAAGTTGGGCTTGGGGCCCAATAATGGGTCATGATGCACCTTGGATAATCTCCAGAAATCAATATAAAGGGTAATAAAATAATTGCTGATGTAATATTTTCCCCTATAATTATTACAAAACACAAAATAAGTAAAAAAAAACAACACCAATTATTTATATTTGTGTCCAAGCTGTTTAGATTGTCAAAAAGCCTGTGTTTTTAGGGTCATTAACGAAGTTCGTGTACTCAGACCAGTAATATTTGGGGTCACAAGATTTTGCCATGGATATTTTGTGGGTCAGAAGACAAAAAGTTTGGGAAACACTGATTTATAACATTTTATGTTCTCCCAAGTGATTCAAAGTGATGCAAAGTTAAGAAGCTTGTCCCATAAAAGAAAACTTTTGATTTTACATGATTACAAGTTGTRCAAAGGATATTTTCTTGAACATTTTTAGTTGGAAAAACAACATTTTGTTGTATTTCTGACACATTACAAGCAAAGAACGTTAACTAAACTTCTAATAACCACGTACGCTTGTAAAAGTATGAGCTTTTCCGTTCAAAAGGTTGTAYGGTTACATTTCAGGAAGAAGCGATCGAGGTTTTCAAGATTTACTACAAGCTACAGCGACGTCCACGCACCTCCTCAGGTCATTCATCAGCTGAAAGGCCTTCCTCATGTGYGTCTGGTTGAAGGTGTGAATCCCTCCGTTGGCGGTGTCCTCCTCGGGATCTGCGGTGCAGTTTGGATGCGGTGAGGCTGGCGCGGCCACCAGGCTGGTGAGACATGAGAGGCAGTGTCTGGATCAGTGGAGATAAACGGGGACCAACAGGTTAGACCATGTTTTTTTTTGTTTGTTTTGTTTTAGAAGAAGGACGGAACAGACACAAAGAAGTAGACTTGATTTGTTTACCTACTAAAAAAAGGTTTACTGAGAACATGAGAACATGCTTAATGAAATAAGGACTATGTTTTTGAAGAATCAACCTGATTTCTTGACAAAACAAGCTGAGCTTCAGGGAGCTGAAGAGCTCAATAAAATAAAAAATAAAATAAAATACTTGACCAAATGTTAATTTRGCTGCAAAGACAGCTAAAACAAAGGCATTCATTTAAAACAGTCAAAGATGCTTTCAATCCATTCATATTATTTTTCTTTTTATTAAATACACCATTATGTGCTGGATCAACCACTGTGTCTGTGGGTCAAATCAGACTTTGTTTCTTAGCATTTTTATCAATCAGTCATTTATCATGACCTAATAGTTATGAAAGCATCCTATTTACTTAAAAACAGGCACAGGAAGATGCATTAAATAATATGGTGCTTGTCTCTTGTGCACATTACAATAAACTAATTTGAACTTAAAAGTAGTAATAATTCACAATTACATCAAGCTCTAATTATAAAGCCTGTTCCACAGTAGTTTGGGTCTTTTGGGCTTTAATGAAAACAAACAATGAGGGGAAATTATTAAGAAAATAGGATGAAAATGAGCCAAAACATTCACTTTTTCTGGTTAAAAACACCTGTTGTTTCTCGCTGACCATCTAGAGCAGTGTTTCCCAAAGTTGGGGTCGGGACCCAAAGCGGGGTCCCAACACTTCAAGGTGGGGTCCTGAAAATATTTTCTAAATTAATTACATTTTTGCCTTAGTTGTGACAAAGGAGTGAGGTTAGTGTATTTAAAATGGATAAATGTAGTATAAAAATATGTTTACTATGTCCATGTTTAGTTGACCTGATACAAATGTTTATCATCCAAAAATAGTTGGTGGCATCTGCTACTGTTTTTTTGTGGGTCAAAAGCTGAAAAGTTTGGGAACCACTGATCTAGAGTTTTATTCAAACACAGTCTACGTAAAAACAAGTAAATCAATGTAACTTGCTAAGAGAGCTGACACTCCAATGCCTCTTTTAATGACCGCCCTCAGATTGGGCAAAAAAAAAAACTAAAGTAGAAAAGAAACAGAGATAATGTTAAAACTAGAGTCAAGATGTTCAGTTAGAATAAAAGCAGCAAATAATCTGTATGTTACCAGCTGATTTGTGCTGTTTCAGGTAGTCAAAAAGCCACGTTAGTGTTAAAAAATGTGTGTTGTTGCAGATTGGCTAACTGTTTAACTTCATTGCTAACATTTTAAGCTCGTGACAGCGACCGCCTCTGCCATAAASCATCGCTCTGATTGCAATATAACCGGCTTTTGGGACAAATGTAATTTGTTCTACAAAATGTCCATTTAGAAACGCGACATGACTCTTCCTGAGTTCTAACTTGGCTCAGAAAACTTAACTGACTCGCCTGAGCTGCCAAAAGATGCTAACCAAGGCTAACTAGTCAACACGGCTAGCTTTGAGTTCGTTTCCTAGAAACRAGGCTGAGCCCGAACTGTCCGTGTTGGATTTGTAGGAGCCCGTGGGGGGACTAAATCGTTATCCAGCAGACGTAGAAGCAGCGAGAATTACAGCTTTACAAAAAAAACTAATCCCCACCGCTGAGCCGACTCACCCTAACGACACACCGTCCATCCTCACGGAGTCAGACACAACAGCAGCGGGCATTAGAGCGCTGCCCGAGCACCCACACAAAGATCTTGTGTTAGCAAGATGGATCACTCAGTCCAGTACTTGTAAACAGGAAAACCGACCGGCCTTGTATGAGGCAGGCTGAGAACACACTTACTTCTCGTTTCTTTTGTGTTGACCTCAAAGTTAGTATCGCAGTTATAGTAAAATTGATATAACAAAGAGACTATTAACAAATAAATTGTGTAGTTCCCACTTTATTCGTCTCTCAGCATGGATTGCAAGCGTGGCTTAAAGTGGCCCTCTATTACATGATAAATCGGCTTGACATACTGTACCTTATCGCTGCTGCTTATACGAAGATTGCGTATTAGAACAATGAGTCACTCTGTAGTCAGAAAAATGCTCTTTTTTGTCTCAGCTAAAACAAATCTTTGAATTAGATGTCAAGTATTAGCATTTTTTACACAGTACATTGGTATGGTAGTATGCAACATTAGAAAAGCAATAAATATTAAGTTTATTWACGTTTATCAAGCGGTTTGCACATAAACTATAACTGTATCAGTAATAAATTTGTTTTGCAGAGGTTTTGTGCACTGAGGATCTCATCTACACTCTGTAAGCATGATCCTAAATTGTCAATTTGTTAATCCTAAATTGTCATTTAGTTGCTGGAGTTACCCTGTCGCAATATTACAAGTGATGAACACTTAAGTGTGGTTTTCTTTTTTAACTTTTAGGAAAACTGGCTACTTTATGCAGTTTCTCTTTTAACTTTAACTTCTACATTTGTTACATCACTATCCGTGCATATTACTAAAATAACCCAGTGCAACATAAATTAGATGCTTTAAAGGTCAAATTGACAAAACCAACCAAATTAAGTTTTGGATCTAGTTTTAAAAAACTGACATTTAGCAGTTGGTTGCATAAATAAGACTAAAATGGGTTAAGAAAGCGAAGCCATCTTGGATCACTTTAACAAAATYAGTTATTTGATAAATTGAAAACTAAGGAAGTTGTAAATCAAGAGATGAAAATGAAAAAAGTTGAAAAAAGTTTTGTACAAATTTTTAAAAAATGCAATCGTAAACTTGAATCAGGACAGAAAGAATAAGTAGATGTTCAAAACATTAAAAAGATTTAATAATAAAAGAACTTCAAAGGGAAACAAATTACCTAAACAATTGTGACCTAAGAAGCCTACAATGGGACGGCAAAGAAACTCTAACACAGTAACATACAGTGAACAAACTGTGACGTTTCTCTGAAAACCTGCAAGTCACAAAAAACATTTTCAATAAAAATCAAGAAACTCAAGCGATCAAGCATCATGCTGACAATGAAACACTGCCACCATCTTTAACTGTAACCCTGAGCTCATGATACAAAAATAATCACATCTGGTTTGCAAAAAAAGAAGCAGAGGTTGAAGATTACAACTTCACAAATGATACAATAAAGAGATCAACCAACACAACATACAGTTCGAGAAATCAGCTGTAGAGTCAATTTGAAGTGAACACAGAGGGGCTCATTCATTCATTCAGTGGGTGGTAGGAACATCTGTAAATCAACAAAAGACCCTGGACTGTGAGGATGTAGATTATGTTTTACGTCATGTCTACATAATTACATTTTTTTTCTTTTAGCTTTCACGGTGCCACTAATAGCCCCCGCCGAATCCCCCACCCCTGCCTCTGTATGGAGCCGCGCTCCTGTACGAATAATTATCCCCTTTCATCGCGCCAAAGCTTGACTGCTGCTGTCCGTAGCTCTCCCCAAAGTCACCGTTGCTGTACCCGCCTCCCATTTGGTTGTCGAACCCGTTGTATCCCCCGTAACCACCGTAGCCGCCGCCGCCTCCATCGCCGCCGCTTCCATCTCCGTAGTAGCCGCCGCCATAGCCGTAGCCACCTTCATAGCCGCCTCCGTAGCCGCCTCCATAGCCGCCACCTCCTCTCCCGCCACCGTAGCTCGGCATTCCCCTGCCTCGGCCCCTTCCTCCACCGCGGCCTCCTCCACCGGACATTTCCTGCTTAGTGAGAGCCTTCTTTACCTCCACCTTGCTCCCTTCGATGGTGTGGTATTTGTCGAGCACCGCTTTGGTGGCGGAGTCGGTGTCGTCGAAGTAGACAAAACCGAAGCCTCTCCTCCTGCCCTGCTTGTCGGTCATGATTTCTGCCTTCTCCACCACGCCGAACTGCGAGAAATACTCCGTCAGATTCCCCTCCTCGATGTGGTCTTTCACGCCGCCGACAAAGATTTTCTTCACGTTAGCAAGAATGTCCGGGTTGTTGGCGTCCTCCCGCGCTATGGCCCGTTTCAGCTCCACGTTGTTGCCATCGACCACATGTGGCTTAGCAGCCATTGCCGAGTCGGCCTCCTCCGGTGTCGAGTAGGTGATGAAGCCGAAGCAGCGGGAGCGCCCGAGCTGCTGGTTCATGACCACGGCGCAGTCGGTCAGCGTCCCGTACTGCTCGAAGTACGAACGGAGGCCACCGTTCGTGGTTTCCACATTGAGTCCCCCCACAAAAAGCTTACACAGCTTGCTCGACATTGTTGAATTTCTGGAAAGGATGGGAACCACGAGACTATTCCTCCTCCTCCTTCGATGAACGTCTGGGGGCGGAGCGTTTCTGTTCTTGATTACGTAGCCGTCTCTGATTTGTCAATTGGATTTTAAAAAAGGACCATTTATGCGCATGCGCATTAAGTCTTGATCTTTAATGAAACCTCGATGTTTGTAGCAAAAAGTAGAAAATAACTCAAATTTATTCCTGCCGTAACGAATYGTAGGTCCCTAAAAACCACTTAATCAGAATATTTATAGAATTTAATGTTCAATCTTAAGCAGTATTTTCTGAAAAGGTTTGTAAAAACCATAAATATCACGTTTACTTTGCTAAACATTTTATTTTYTAAACCTTTTCTAAGAGTTCTAACCTGATGTCCTGATGCGTCTTAATAATACAAGTAGAAATATATTAAGTTTAGTAGGTATTCTGAGCAGCCTATAAAATAAACTTATTGAAAAATATCACCAGGACACATTAGTAGACAATTTGTTTCTGTTTTGTTAACTAAATAATTTAAGGCTAGCATGGGGAGCATAAATCAAAATAAATTTAAACTGATCCTTATATTAAAGTAACTAGTTTGATATTAACAGAGAATGTACTCTAATAATTACATTGTGAAAGAGTCGTTTTATTCATTTAAGAGTAAACTCAATGTTCTACATCATTTTCGGGCCAACGGCACTCTAAAATGTATTTTTCTTTTTAAGATGTCACTAGGTGAGGGGTAAAGAGTACACAAAACCATGAGCTTTAATTGTGAAGCCTCATCACCTTGAACACAAAACTATAACATCGATGTGAAAATAAATGTATCAAGCAAGTCTTTATATAAAATATAAAAATTTATTGTGCATTCACAAAAAACACATCCAACATAATTTCATCGTCCTATGGAAACATCGGAAATCGTCAAGCACAAAACCTATAAAACAAGAAAATATTTACAATCATGTCAAAAACACATGAACTACAGTTCTGTAACACACAACTAAAAATAAAAACTACCAATTTGCAAAAAACTGGATCTACCTCATAAACATAAGATCTCAATAGCCTAAATATTTAATATTGTTGTAATTAGTACCAATAAATGACAAAGAACCCTTAACTGAAGGATATTTTCAACATTTCAAGGAAAACATGACAGTGGAACATAAAATTTGTTCAGCTTCTTCTGATCACAACAGACGAATACTTTCTGGAAACCAACTTCACCTGAGGAGTAGAAAGCCACGCCAACCACTCCTGGGTCCCACCAGCATGGAGACTCACCCCATCACATTCAGGGTGATGTCCTTCTTGTCCAGGTTACAGTAGCAACCTGGAGAAAGTGGGAGAAAACACACAAATGAGSCAGAGAAAAAAGAAAAACTTCTTAGGAGACACCATTTTACTCGTTCCATAATTTCACTCAATTGTGGAACAAAGCGTGTGTCCCCCCACTTTCCACCCACCTCAAGTTCATAGCAGAGACCAAATTAAAGCCATCCCAAATATGTAGATCAATATTTTAAGTTTAGCTATAAAAAAAGGCGTATTTATCCCATTTAAGATTAAACARTGGTACACTTGCGTACCATCTTAAATATATTCCATACATTGTTGACCAACACAGAGTGAAGACAGGTTGATTTACATACCTAGTTTGCTGGATGTGGATATCCTAAAGAGATATTTCAGACTCCTATCACAATCGACCCCAGGTAATCAACAGGGTCCTGATGTAGCCTACAAACAAACTGCTACGGCTATTTTGGCTGGAATAGCCTACTGGAATACAAGTAAGAACACCTAAATATAGGAATAATCAAAGATAATTATCACACCCCTCATCGTCCACATATATAGTGTAGAAACAAGTAGAAAAAAAACACCATAAATTTAAAATAAGTCACACCCTACAAAGCCTACATGCATCGGCTGTGGGTAGACTGTAACCATTTCACCCACCTGAATGTAAAAAGGAATAAACTGGAAATGATGCCATGTACACTAAATCAACGTTGGCATAAGAACCTGTGAATAAACTTGAGGAAGCCTGGTTAAATAAGTAAGATAACTAAGCTAAGTGGTAGAAGGTTTTATTTAAAATGAACATACATAGGCATACCAAAGTGTTTCAACAATAGGTTTTGTTCTCCAGACATGAAATAATACAATATACATTTGATAGTGGGACAGGTAATGGAAAATTAACAATATTTAAACTGACACTATTACTACTGAGATTTTTTTTTTTTTTTTTTTTTGGGTACAGACTGGTGAACTAAAATCTTATGGATTCACTGTTTGCCTATTACTGGAAAAAATGATACAAAAACAATAGCCAGAATGACATATCTAACCAAACATGCATTCTCATTATCATACATAGAACAGAAATACACTAAATGTACTCTAAACAAAATCCAATTAAACTGCTTAAAAATTKAGAGTAAAATAGGAACCTTTCACCCAATAAACAATCCTGCATCGAAAACAAGTGAACGCAAATAAAAAAAATAATAATTCAACGCTAAATGATAACCACACTGGTGGGTAATGGGTACATAAAACGGGACCTGCAATTGTAATTCTTCATTTGTGTCCTAGATGAACAGCAACAGCTGCTTGTTATAACCAGGTGTTCTGGGAAGTGACCTTCCTACCTGTTTGGGGTATTTGAGGTCTTGGTTAGGGTTGATGGGAAGGGGTGTCTCGGTCTCTGCCATGGTGGGATTTCACGGCAGACGCCCCGACACCGAGTTTTGCGTCCAAATCTTGGCTGGGTGTATTCTTGTGGCAGGAAATGAGGGTGGGTGGTTGTTTCCGCTGTACAGTTTCACTTAATAGCCGCCGCCACCGTAGCCCCCCCGGGGGTAGCCGCCACCGCCGCCGCCTCTAGAGTATGGGGCTGCGCTCCTCTGGCCACCGAAAGGCCCCTTCATGGGACCGTAACCAGAAGAATGCTGGCCATAACCACTGCCAAAGTCGTTGTAGCCGTTTCCACCGCCATAGCCGCTACCCTGGTCGCCGTAGCCACCCCCATAGGGCCCGCCGCCGTACCCTCCGTAGCCGCCATAGCCTCCGCCATTTCCATAGCTGTAGCTTCCGCCATAATCTCTGCCGCCGTAGCCATTTTGATTTCCTCGCATGCCTCCTCTGCCTCTTCCCCTCGGCGCCATTCCGGGTCTGCTGGACGCCTGCATCTCTTGTTTCGTCAGGGCTTTCTTCACTTCAACTTTGTGTCCATTCACGGTGTGAAATTTCACCACGACCGCTTTGTCGGCAGCATCGTGGTCGCTGAAGTACACAAAGCCGAATCCCCTCTTCTTTCCGGTCTCCTTCTCCGAGATCACCTCGGACTTCTCGACCGGGCCGTACTGGGAGAAATAATCGGTCAAATGCTGCTCTTCGATGTCGTCTTTCAGGCCGCCCACGAAGATTTTCTTCACTTTAGCGAGAGCCTCGGGCTTGTTTGCGTCTTCCCTCGCGACTGCTCGCTTCACCTCGACCGTGTTTCCGTCGACGGTGTGCGGCCTGGCAGCCATGGCCGAGTCGGCCTCCTCCGGCGTGGAGTACGTCACAAAGCCGAAACAGCGGGAGCGCTGGAGCTGCTTGTTCACGACGACAACGCAGTCGGTCAGGGAACCGTACTGCTCGAAGTGTTTGCGCAGGCCATCGTCGTCGGTGTCCACGTTCAGCCCACCGACAAAAAGCTTACAAAGCTGGTCGCTCATTTTCGTCGTTTGAATTTGCGAGCTGCTGAGAGACGTCTGAACCGAACAAASCGTCGATGTCAAGATGGCCGCCGTAGTGCAACGCAGCTGTATTTATAACAAGCTGTTGGCTCCGCCCTTTCCGCTTCCTTTGAAGGCAAGAACAAGAACCACGTTTTTACGAACAAAGAAGCAAATTTAAGAAATATTCAATTCATGCTTTCATATCACGTTTTGTTCTTTTTTTCCATCAACATTTGAAATAATATTGGTTCGCTGTCTTAACCAATACCTATATCAAACAAAAACTAATATTTTTCGTAGGTGGCGACAGTAAAGGAAAAAAATGAATTCTTGTCAAAATTGAATGCATTTTAATTAAATCGGGAAGCGATTGTACACTTTTTTTAAATAAATTTACTCAATTATATGAGTAATATATATGACTTATATTAAGTAATCAATGAGAAATTTGTATTTATTGTCTATGATGCAACCAAGTGTGATCACAAAAGTCGTTGATAAAGATAATTTTTTTAAAATCAAACACTCCCTATCGTCAGTGAAAGCTTTTACTCCTTTACCACCATGAATTCAACTTTACAAATGAACGTATCTTGTGACCTATTTACTCAATGCTGTCCTTGAGTAAATAGGTCACAAGATATTTACTCAATGCTGTCCTTGAACTCAGGTTTTAATGTATTTTTATGGTTAAAGACAACACTTGGCTTCCTGCCTCAACAGAAACCGACTTGTTAATCTCATCACACTCAGCGGTTCATGGTAACGCCTAATTTAGAAGCTCAATAGAGGAGAGCAGACACTACACAAAAACAAAACTGCTAAGTTTTACTGAAATCGTTATGATGCAGATTGCTGAAATAAACAACCCCCATTTCTATTCTACCAACACAATCATGACATCTTGTCTTTACAGATGCAGTTTATGGACACAAATAAGGTTAATAGTCTGATAAACAGAGAGTAAAAAAGATCAAGTTAAACAAACATAGCTGGATTTTGAAAAGTTTCTGCTTCGTGTATCCTGATTACAGTAAAACCAAAGTGTTGTTGTTGACTTTACAAGGAAGGGCAGGACTGTTAGTAGTTTTGTGTTGGCTGTTAAATGATGCGTTTCCCAATACAAGCACGTTAACAAAAAATATGTACTGTCAAGAAATATAATGCCTGTTGTTTTGGCCCTGAAAGCAGGTAAAGTATTGGGTATAAATGTAAAAAAAAAAAAAAACTTAAAGTATCTAAACTTGTTCTGTTTTTTGTTTGGGAAATAGTTACGAAGCTGAAACTTCATGAACGTTAATTTGTCTAAAATGTCTTGCCTTGAAAGAAGATAAATATCCAATTGTTGGCCTCAAAGGGAAAACAGTTTGTTCATTAACAAATGTTGTATTAGAAGATATAAAGTAATTATCAATAATGGTCAAACTGAGCTTCTTCAGAAATCATACATTATTCCAAACAGCGTGTTAAACTGCGAACTCTGAATGTTTCAAGTTGATAAACACAAGATTTCCCCAGTTTATACAACAATTTTGCAAATTTATAATTCTTCTTCTTCCACAACAAATACATGAGAATAATTAACTCTAATTACTACATGAATAACAACAGAGGTCTGCTGCGACCCAAACTAGGCTTCTGTTTCAGTAAAAATAAAGATAATTTAATATAATTCCTCAAAACACGATCTAAAAACTTGTCTAAAGGCGGAGGATGTGAAGATAGTCAAGTGTGACCAAAACAGCAAAACAAGTTATTCTTGTTAACACATCTTTCCGCCTTGAAATTTATGGGAAAAAGTAAAAGCTTGTAAAAGGAAACAAACTCCAAAGTAACTCTTAACAAGTATTTTATTATTTGTTGTAGTAAAATCAAACATCTAACTAGCAGTTTTCAACCAGTCCTTTTCTCTAGACAGTAATATTCAGAGTAAAGGCCTTTAAGATAATGAAAATGTTGATAGTCCATGTGCTTGAATGGATCAGATTAAACAACTTCTAGCCACATCTAAAACACAGTCTGAAAGAAGAGCCCTGTTTCAGTGAAAGAAGATGGGAGAGAGGGGGGGATGGGTGAACATGATCATCTAGCAGAATGAAAGGGATGCTGAAGGGCCTCTCGGTTTGGGGGAGGGAAGTAGAGGGTGAGGGCACTGGATCACAGCTCCACTGGTGGCTCTGAGTAGGCCTGGTCTCAGAAGATGGACAGCAGGCTATCATTTGATCGTGTTAACACTAAGAAGCACCGTCTGAGAGATCACATGATGTAGACTTTCTCTGCCTGAGAGAAGTTGAAGACTTCTTTGGTTCTGGGACACACCACTTTGTCATCTTGGCGAATTGAGAGAAGAGACTGGGAGGCAAAACAAGCAAAATAAATACTACAAATATACTACAAAAAATACTAAAAAATACTACAAATACTACAAATTTATACGGCTGTTCTTATTTCATACTGCACAAAAAAAAAAGAAGAGTACTTACGTTGTAGCCGTAGACATATCCATTAGGCAGCATCATAGGAGGATTGTTTTCATTCATGACCTCCCCAGAGATCTTACAGACTAGTCTAGAGTTGGCACAGTGAGCCATAGGTAGCGGCTGGGCCAGCTTGTTAAGAGATTTACTGCAGACTGGGCAGTCCGGGTTTTTAGAGCTACCATCCTCCTTGTAGCATTGACTGAAATAGACGGTTAAGGGTCAAACTTCAGGTTTCATCAAAACGTTGTTTTCTCGTATGGTGGTAAAAACATGATTCATGCAGCTTTCAGTAAGCTAAATTTAAGACCTTTTAAAGACCTTTTAAGACCATTAGAAATGACATTTAAGACCAAACCGATGCATTAACAAACATTCGAATGGTCCAAGAAATTTTAATATAAAAACATATTATTGCTATCAATTCATCTATTACAGAATATTTAATTTTAATAAAGCACTAAATTATTTCAATGTAACGGTCATGCTGTGGACCGCTTCCAACCAAGTGTAAAAATAACCGACATAAAGCCACGTCTCATTGAAAACACACTTTTCCATGTTTAAACGAAAACAGTGTGGACATGACTGAACTTCTTTGTTTTTTGGGCATATGCGGGGGGTTGTAGCAGTAAAGAGGTTGAAAACAAGGAAGTAAACTGCCAATTTTTGCCTGCAGTTATCATGGGATTTGTAGTTTAACTATACCAAGACAGGTAGAAAACTTAGCACTTCATGAAGACAGATCGCATCAACCTGTGATTATGGTGCTTTACTCTATTTATGCAGCCAACGCTTCGACGGAATGATCAAAAGAAAAAAAATTAAGACTTAACAAAATTAAATTTAAGACTTGGATGACAATCTGGGCATTTTTAAGACGTTTTTAAGCCTAAAATTTTGATTTTCAAATTTGAGACCTTTCTTTTAGACCCTGCATGAACCCTGTAAAAAGGAAAATAAATTATACAAAAAATGCACGATAAGTTAGCATCTCGGGACAACGTTACTGAGTACAGTGAGAGTAAAAGGATACGGTGTCTTGATGGCAGACAGACCGGCCTGTAGGGTGATGGTGAAGACAGAGTTATTGCCCAGCTGGTGCAGTCTGTAGTTGTCATATCGGAACTGCTGGATGAGCATCTTCCAGCGAGCTGGATCCAAAAGATCCTGAGGAGACAAAATATTTTTTTAGTTACTTTATTAGTCAGTTTCATTTAGATAATACAACACAAAAAGGGTCCTAAAGAGTTTTTTCAACTACTAAACCACAAAACAATTAAACATAGAAAAAAATCAGGAAAAAAATAAAGAAAGTTGAGCATGTCTGGAGTAAAGAACAGTTGAAAGATCTCAACGGTTTTTCTTCCAAACCAGTCTAACATGTTGTACTGGTTAGAAATTATGATGCTATTAAACTCATTACAAAGTGTGTAAACTACTAGAAAGTGACTCAGTTTTTACAAAGACATTGGTTGACTCTTCCACACAACCACTGAAACTGTAAAATTTAGTCTGGACTCTTTATGGCAAATGGAACATTTTCTACCAGTACATGTTCTACAATGTAATCAGAGTAATTTAATCATAAAACAAAGAGTAGATGGTTATAATTTCACCAATTTAAAACTTATCTTTCACATTTAAATTGAGATAACCGAAAAGAAGGTGTTTAAAACATTGGTGTAAAAGAAAAGAAAATTCCCAGTCAAGTTAAAACTACATCATTTTTAATATGTTTAATTTTAACACTAACATACCATACTATACCACTTTTATTTATAAAGCACTTAAAACAGAACAGGGCCAACCAAAGTGCTGTACAATAAAACAGACAAAAGAGGGCCAGAAGAAGTGAAGGCCTGTTTATTTGAAACCAGTCTCTGGAAATGCTGGTGTTTTTTTTTATGTTTATTGGGGCAAATAAACAATAAAATCACCTGTTTACATGGAACCTCTGCAGTAATGTACCAGGCAGGGTTGCTAGTGTTTACTATTTCTTTAAAATGATTATATTTTGAGTCAAAATAGCTGATATGCTAAATACATATGACTCCCTCGGTCAYTTATGCTGAGGTGTGTGTTGGGTTTGGTGGAAAAACCCAAAAACCCACCTCAAGCGAGCGTATCAACTTTTATGCGAATTAGAGGAAGTTTTGTTGAATCATGCCGTTTCCATTCATTTTTTTCTGATGCGATACTTCAAAATGCGCATTGAAAAATGCTGATGGAAACACGGCTAATGATATCTGAGAAATATTTGCCTTTCACAGCTCTAACAGATTTCTGATAAAAGCGACAGCCATGTTTTAGCATTTCAATTTTTTTCTGCATTGACTTCCACAGGAACGCATCAATACAAACTGACTGGTATGAATTCAGTATTAAAAAAATCTGTGCTTCCTTTAAACAGAAAAAAACCCATTTCTAAATGAAAGCACATCTCTTGTGGTAACAAGACTACAGTATGTAAAGAAACATTGCCCTCTAGTGGCTAAACATGCACTACAACAAGTTTGTTCRCTAAAATTTTTTAGATACTTTTAACTTCTATGGATCAAAAATATCATCCACTGATAATTACACATGTTATAAGCTTCAGCTATTAACATGGTAAGTAAGAGTGCTTGACAACCAACTCTACTGAAATAAAAAAAAACAAACTTTTTGACCATAAAACTAAAATCTTATCAAACAACATACCTTTCTACATCTTTACCAAACACAGTGGCTGTACCTTATACGGGGAGATGTGTGTATCTGAGGGGAAAGCCAGCATGCCCATCACCTGCCGAACCTCGTCCAGCTGCCCACCTTCTGCTTGGCTGAAGTGCTTCCTTGCATGTCTGGTATAATCCACAAAAAACTCAGTAAGTAAAACTTTAAAAGTAAGACAACAGCAGTAATTCTTAAAAAGTGAGAGTAAAGTTTGTGTGGTGGGCCTCGTTCAGTACCGGACAGCATCCATGCGCTTGTTTTGTCTGATGAGCTCAATAAACTCCTGGATTCTTAGACTGAACTCAAGACAACTCTGTCAGAAAAAAAGGAGATAAGGAATAATAATGTTAAGTTTAAACTGATAAAAATACATTAAACATTAATGTAAGAACAGAGCAAAATCAGAAAACTGATCACTTTCATTCAGATGTTTCATACAAGCCAACCATTCCTCATTAAAACTGCCCTTTGAAATAAAAAAAATACAAGAATCTGATTGGTTGTGGCGAGTAGGTTAGTCACTAATCTCAAGCTTTGATCCCTTGAGTATTCAGGCCACATATCAAAGTGTTTTTATGCAAATAAACAAACTTCAAAATTAAATGTAAGCAGTGAACAGATGAAACAACCTCACTAGAAAGGAACTTTGTAAGTGGAATCATTTTTGTGGCTGGTAGAGATTAAAAAAATACGAACCCTGACGTCTTAAATTTGAGTCGAGAGGCCTGCGCAACACGACCATATGTTGTGCCATCATTTCAACATGGCTGCTCCTCGCATCAGAGAGTTAAACTCTTTACTTTTACCTTTTTTTAGTAGCTCTGTGTTGTTTACTTTACATCGAGCCAGTCATACTTGCAGTACTTTAAAGTGATTATTAGGAGAAATGTTTTTAGTTACACTGCACTGTTAGTACACTCAAAATGCCTTGTAGAGCACTATTGTTGCAAATGTTATTGTTGCACAGCAAAAAAACAAAAAAAAAAACAAAATAAAAATAGAAACGCTTTTTCCGACGTTCTGACAAGTTCGACACTGGAACGCTTTCAACTCGGAACCGACGTCAGTCCGGCTTCAGAGTTTAGAGTTTCGCTCCAACTGGAAACGCAGCATTATCCTACCTTCATCTTGCGGAGGCGGGACTTGTTGTCATGGCACCAGGCTAAACAGGTGGCTGTCTCCTGCCTCTCCAAAGACTCTTCCACCTCCTTTGCAGTGAGGAACATCTCAATGTTCACCAGATCCTAAGAATGAAAGATACCAGTAAGTAAGGCTTTATAAAAAAAAATTCTGAAGAAAAGTAAAAAGTTTAAAGTAACAAAGACGCATGATGTCACTTGAAAATAGAAACACATTAAGGTTTCTTTTGACTGCATGCTGAGTAAACAGATTTGTACYGTCACTATTTTGTAAGATGTATAAGATGATCATCACACTGGCAATGAAGAATTACCTCTATACCACTTTGTCTGGCCAGTTTGACAGCTGTGTTGTAGTAGCCGCAGCGCAGCAGATGCTCCACCATCATGCGATCCATCCGTTTTTTCTTCCATAGGTTGACTGAGGCTGGCTGATCGCTGCTGTGCTCCTTCAGGTGCTCAATGCGACGCTTACACAGCTTAGCGCTCTCATCTTCTGCCTGAATAGACTCTGCAGCCTTTGAGGAATACAAGAACTCAATTAAGCTGAACGTTAGGTAAATTTGAAATATCAGTGAAGCTGATAAACTCCAGTTATTTATGTTGTTTATGTAGTGCAGACAGATTTTTGTTTCGTCATTTTTGTATGAAATCTTCACGCTTTAATCATAAACAAATAAAACACCTATTCACTCATATTTGTGAAGAAGTGGTGCTCAGGTTCTCAGTTTGTTTTATTCTGAAGGTCACTCAACAGTTTGTAGGGCTCAGTGATGAGCTTTGTGCGTTTGTCTGCTTCACCTTCCTCTTCAGAGCGCTGAGTTTTTCTACCACTCCATCCAGCAGTGACACCACGGAGTCGACCACCGGGAAGCTGCTGAGGGTCTTCTCCAGCTCTGCGACCACCATGGTGACGTGGCTCGTCTCCCTGTCGATGTTCTTCTGAGCCGCTCTGAAACGTTTGTTCAGAGTCTCATACGGCACCTGCAGACAAGTTGTGTTTCTTTTTTAAACAAAATGTTCCCTTTAAAACAAAGAGTGATAATGTAGCTTAGTAAGGTTTTATAAACTGCGTTTCTCATCGGTAATGCGGAGATTAGTTGGAGCCTGATAGTGGGATAAATTAATTTAAATATTTTTCCTCATTCAGCTGTTTCTATTTTACAAAACCTAAACAGTTATCACCTACCATCAAAGGTGAAAAAACATTTTTGTCCATATCTGTGTGCTTTTTTGCCTGCAGCGTTAGCAAAATATCTCAGGAATCAGTGCTTTAATATAACTCAAATAATCTCTGAAAATACTGATTGCTAATTCAAGTTAACCACATTCAAGATGGCCACCACAGCTAAACAAGCTTAGAAAACACAGAAAAATGCTATGTCAGTCAGTTTTAGAGAGATCAAGCTATACTGGTGGTAGTAGCTGATAGTCATCCTAACAAGATCTTGTATAATTGCACAAGATTGTGCCCAACATCAAGTTTTAATCAAAATGGCTGTTTTAGTTTAAAACTCTGGCTTGACAAGCATGAATATGTAGTGTTTTATAGAGTAACAAAAACTCTTACCAATCAAGGCGTTTTTGACTTAAAATATCTATATAGACTAAGGTTTAGATGAATAGTTTCAAAGAGCTTAAAAGGTCAGAGGTAGTACGATGAATAGTTAATGCACTCAGGCTTGCAGTCAGTGTGTGTGCACTTCTAGCCTTAGCGTATTTACAGTATCACATAAATCAACATAAAATGGCATCCTCATTTTCACATTTTTAAAAATAAATCCACCGCTTCTCCCGTTGTTCCACTCAGAGGATTAGATTAGACTTTTCTGAATCAGTTTCATGTGACCTTTTGGGTTAAATAAAATGCTGGTTTTTACCCACTGAGAGGATTTCGCTCTCCTGTTAGAGCGAAGTCAATTTCACAGATCACCAAGATCGAAGAGGGAAATTATGCAAATTTACCACCAAGAGTGAACAAATCTTGTTGGGATTTAGGAACTCCATTTCTAAACTAAGAACCGAATGAGACCATATGTTTCTGATATGCAACTGTGCTTCATAACAGATGTACTCTTGTGAATATTCTGAAGTGTCTTGTTGGCAGAAACATCTCAGAGAGGAAAATAAGACTCTTGTCTGCTTATCTTCCATGCTCTTGTCTTAATGGCTGAAGTTATAGTGGGATTTGGCACATTTTGTTTGGACAACAAATATTTCTTTGTAAGTGTGCACATACGCTCTGATCCCTTTTCAGTTCTTCTTTATGGGTTCACTCTTTTACTTCCTTTCAAAAGAATAGTGGTGTGAGGCTGGACCTTGTGCCAAAATACAAAAAAGCAGCAAAAGAATGTACAGCATGCAAATCGAATCTACATTTCTACATACAGAGAATGGACTGGTAAGATTATGCTGTATGCTTTCAGATCAAAGACTTTATCTCTCATTTCAGATCAATATATCCTTACTGATGGAAGCTGTAGATTTGCTTCTCTTAGCAAAATCTCTCTCCCAAGGTAAATCACGAAGTTTCATTATCAGAACACAATGAGGATATTAAGGCATGCCACAAATCTCAGAAAAATACACAGACACAAAATATTGATCCTATGCTAAATAAATTATAAAGAAAATGTGCTCCTTATGGTTCTTTCTGAATCTGACCATGTCGGGTTAAAGTGATTCAAAAATGCCATTTTTAGGCCAGGATTTAATTCAGATAACTATAGAAAGGTTGAATATTGCTGTTGATCACATCTGACTAGCGATATATTAATTGATAATTAATAAAAAATCTTAATGGCTTAAAATGTGAATTCATTTGCAAAAATGAATGAACTGAATACACTTTGTTGTACACCGGTAACGTATTCAAGACAATAAATTTGATACTTGATAACTTTCGTTCACAAAAAGATTTGTGATGCCATTTTTATTTATTTTGAAGTATAATTCTCTTACTAAGACAACAGACAGTTACAGTTTTATACAAGGACACAAACGCTGATGTTAAAAGGAAATAAATAGCTTTGGTTATAAAATGACTACATTTTGTTTGAGTAAATCGTTACATGTGACAAGTGATGGGTTTCCCCTCAATCTTATTTTTAAACTAAAAATTTTTCAACTTCAAGTCTTTCCATAGTCACTAACATCTTTCTGTACCTTGTAACAGAGAAGCCATATATGCACTGAACAATTATAACAGCAACAGAGTGATACTGTTTATTTTTTCTATTCCCTTCTCACCCTCTGCGGGTGGTCTCTTTCATCCTCTGAGCTCGGGTCCTCTACCAGAGGCCTGGGAGCTTGAGGGTTCTGCGCAGTATCTTAGCTGTGCCTAGAACTGCACATTTCTGGACTGAGATGTCTGATGTTGTTCCTGGGATCTGTTTTAGCCACTGCTCCAGTTTGGGGGTGACTGCCCCGAGGGCCCCGATGACCACAGGCACCACTGTGGTCCTTCCAGTTCCTCTCTGACGCCCTGGTATTTCTCCAGTTTCTCATGCTCCTTTTTTCTGATGTTGTGGTCACTTGGTATTGCAATTTTCACCACAACGGCTTTCCTC